CCCTTACATTTAATCTCCACGCATTTATTCTCCAAATTTTACAATAACAAAGCAAATAACGTCACAACTAACGTCACAGAAACAAGTTAATTACAAGCCGAGTAAACTGTCCATTCAATGGTATCTGAAAATGAATCAATGCCGTCCCCTCGTCCTTTGACGTTCCTTTAAACGCAGCATCCATTTTGGAAATGAAGCAGTAACCGACACAGAAATTAAGCAACTCAGATTCATTACGGTCTGTCGGAGACGCAACAAATCCATTTATTCGACAAAGGGACAGGCAAGGATATACAATCGTGGACGTCCAGGAAACACGACAGAAATTCAATTCAAAAGATCAAAATCTCGCTTAGTTGTTCAAAGGATGTACAGCCAGTGCTTACCGCGAAAAGCGCGCTGTTATAGTAATTTAAGTTCCCGGTAAGCTTCGTGTAATAATTTTGAACGGTGCCGGGAAATGTTGACGGAGAATTTGTGAGGTTTGCTAATTAAAATTTTGTTGCTTCGACGAATTTTAATGGTTTCTTGGCAAGAGATTACAGGGAAATAGTTGGAACTTGATAATATGTGAAACTGGACAATATGTGAAGCTTGACCATATGTGAGACTTGACCATATGTGAAACTTGACCATATGTGAGACTTGACAATATGTGAGGCTTGACAATATGTAAAACCTAACAATATGTGAAAATTGACAATATGTGAAACTTGACAATATGTGAGACTTGACAATATGTGTGTCTTGACAATATATGAAACTTGATCATATGTGAGACTTGACAATATGTGAGACTTGACAATATGTGTGTCTTGACAATATATGAAACTTGATCATATGTGAGACTTGACAATATGTGAGGCTTGACAGTATGTGAAACCTAACAATATGTGAAAATTGACAATATGTGAAACTTGACAATATGTGAGACTTGACAATATGTGTGTCTTGACAATATGTGAAACTTGACCATATGTGAGACTTGACAATATGTGAAACTTGACAATATGTGAAACTTGACAATATGCGACACTTAACAATATATGAAACTTGACAATATGTGAGACTTGACAATATGTGTGTCTTGACAATATATGAAACTTGATCATATGTGAGACTTGACAATATGTGAGACTTGACAATATGTGTGTCTTGACAATATATGAAACTTGATCATATGTGAGACTTGACAATATGTGAGACTTGACAATATGTGTGTCTTGACAATATGTGAAACCTAACAATATGTGAGACTTGACAATATGTGAAACCCAACAATATGTGAAACTTGACAATATGTGAGACTTGACAATATGTGTGTCTTGACAATATGTGAAACCTAACAATATGTGAGACTTGACAATATGTGAAACCGAACAATATGTGAAACTTGACAATATGTGAAACAAGACAATATGTGAAACTCGACAATATATAAAACTTAACTTAATATGTAAAAATTGAAACAATCAATATTCCGCAAGAAATGAAGACAATTATGTGACCATCGATATCATTAATTACGGAAAATCGTTAATGGTTTCCAATAACGAAAGCTATAAATAATAATCGATATACTATTGACTTTTTCTAAGCCTCTAACCCTAATCTATGGTTATAGGGTGGCCATTATTCACTTGAGGATACTCATTCTCTTCCCTACATACAGGGTGTACCTCATAACTGTACGATTATGATTTATAGGTGATTCAGTATGATTTGCGCCGGTAAGTGATCGAATTTCTTGGTATCGATATTGGATTAATACACAGGGTTCAATATAAACCACAAAACTGAGGCAATGAATTTCAAAAGCTATTGTATCAGAAGAAATTGTGTTTCATCAATTGATGTGACTTTAGTAAAATGCTGAAGTGAAAGATTTTAATATGATAATGGTGAAATGGATAATTGTATTTTGGAAAATTTTCAAAAATTCTCAAAGTGAATTCGAAGAAAAAAATATTCAAGTCCGCAAAATATAAAAATATTGAATAACAGTAAAGCAGAGTTTGTAAGTCTTTAATTACGAAACCCTATGAATTACCGAATCATTTCAGTAACAAATGACCAAAATTAATTAATTTATAACTTTCGAAACTTTTGGAACACCAGCGTCCAAACAATTGTTAAACTCTGGCAACGCGATACAAAAGCATCACATCATACAATATTAGTTTACCAGGATTCAATAATTACAGTAACTTTATCAAAATACGCAACTATTATCGAAGCACGTACATGCGCAAACACAACTGCGCATTATTACTTAATAACATATGTTCTCGATACTCCACTAATTGTGCCTCGCAGCGTCAGAATATTAATTTAATAGGATTAATAGGAATTAATAGGATTCTCAATAAGAGATAAGTGGACTAAGAAATAAATTTCACTTCAAACTAGAGTTTACTATGTTAACTCTTCCAACTAGAGTTTATGTCTCCGATGTTTTACGTTTCACAAAAGCTCGCTATAATTTTTGTGACACCGCCGAGGTAAACAGTTTCCAATTTTCTATCGGTTCAGCCAAAATTCGGCAGGAGATGGAAATGCAAGTGACGTATGAAGTCTTTACCCAAAGTGACCTAAGCAAGTAATAAAAGCGATACCTCGACACGAATAGTTCACAAACAAAAGACTCTACTGCTAAGGTTAAGGGTTCACCAGATGTGACTGACAATAAAAAAATACTCGCTAGAATGTGACTCCTTGGGTCTTGTTGCTGCTGCGGGGAATTGATTTGAAACTACAAATGAAGGAACGAAAAACCTTTATACTATTGTATCGCTGGAAACTTGTACCGGGGTCTAATCCTCTCGTTGCAATATGCATTCTAAGACCTAACATTGTCTCTCTGTGTGAATGTACTTGGACCTAGTAGGTAGACCTGGTAGGTGGACTTAGTAGTTGGACCTGGTAGTTTGACCTAGTAGTTGGACCTGGTAGTTGGACCTGGTAGTTAGACCTTGCACTTAGACCTTGCACTTAAACCTTGCATTTGGACCTTGCACTTAAACCTTGCACTTAGACATTGGAATTAAACCTTGCATTTAGACCATGCACTTAGACCTTGCACTTAAACCTTGCACTTAAACCTTGCTTTCAAACCTTGCACTTAAACCTTGCATTTAAACCTTGCACTTAGACCTTACACTTAAACCTTGCACTTAAACCTTGCACTTTAACATTGCATTTAGACCTTATATTTTAACCATGCACTTAAACCTTGCACTTAAACCTTGCACTTTAACATTGCATTTAGACCTTGTATTTAGACCTTGCACTTAAACCTTTCACTTAGACCTTGCACTTAAACCTTGCATTTGGACCTTGCACTTAAACCTTGCACTTAGACCTTGCATTTAGACCTTGCACTTGGACGTAGTAGTTAGCCCTTGCACTTAGACTTTGCACTTAGATCTAGTAGTTAGACCTTGCATGTAGACTAACTAGTTAAACCTTGCATTTAGACCTAGTAGTTAGACCTGGTAGTTAGACCTTGCACTTAGAGCTAATCCTTAAATCTAGTAGTTAGACCTTGCATTTAGACCTAGTAGTTAGACTTAATCCTTAAACCTACTAGTTAGACCTACTACTTAGACTTAATACTAAAAGTTGAACCTACTACTTAGACCTACTACTTAGATCTATTACTTAGACCTGGAAGTGCACCTCTCTCATAGGATGCATTCACCTAACAAACTGAATCAAACAAAAATAAATTTTCATGAATGTCCAAATAACATCCATCAATTTGAACAAAGATGAAGAATTTGAACATCTGATGAATTTGCTCAATGAACTGATGATTTGCTTAATTAAGACCCATAATCGAAGCTGCTTGTTTATCATCAGTTCCCGATAATTCCATCGTTCGATGTGTTTACTTAATAATAATAATAACACCCGACGCTTCCATTAATAATTTTTCGGAGATAAATGGAAAATGATTCGTGACGTGATTCTTAATAGAGTTCCGGAAATACAGTTTTCATTTAACAAGGAAAACAGTAAATCGAAGTTATTTCCTGCGAAGATTACGACGAAGCTATTGGATTGCAGAAATTACTATTGAATTATGGATTTGCGATTCTTCCCTGGTTTTCATCGAACGATTTTCTTCCGCTCGGAAGAAAGAAACATTTGATCCGTTTATTTACTCTAAGATTTCGTTTTATAATCTTATCGGGGTTTCTTTGAATTTAGTTTCTTCGGAGTTTGTATCAAGCTTTTATAGCTGTTTCTCATGTATTTTTTATGTTGTCATTATTTTTTAATTCGTTGAGTAAATTTTTATGAACAATTTTTAAATTCTGCATTGTAATGTTTAAATAATTTTTGCTTTCACTTTAATTTTAGAATGATTAGTTAATTGTCAGAGGTTTTATTTTTTATCATTAAAATTAATAGTTTTCATAATAAAATAGTTATTTCAATGCAATACTGAAATCAATTCTAACAGAATAAAATTATTTTATATGCTTCCACAATAAATGTGCAGTTGAATGATTATTCTATCTACGCTTACAAAAATCATTTCTATTTATACTAATCAATTATCTGTATGTGCGATGTCAATGACTCAAGCAATGGCTGCAGCTAGCACGATCTATGTCCATACATTATCTATCGAGGTTACGTTATCTAATACATTTATTTTCCTGAAACGTTCATAGAATTTCTGCTATTTGTATCCATTTTATGAGACGAAGTTAAAGATGAAATTTAAAAAAAAATATTTCAGATGAAATATTTAAACCTTCCGTTAAAAAATTTCATTTTGCGTCAATAGGTTTTGACTATTGTTAGATAAAATATAGCTCTCGTTTGCATAAAATAATATATGTAATAGTTATGCAAATTTTTATACGTAAGATATTTTCAGATTCTTAAGTATGAAATATAAGTATGTAAATGTTTGGCGATGAAAATGAACAGTGAGTCAATAGAGCAAGAAGTTTATTTATAGTTTTTATAGAAACTTTTTAACTTACTAATGATGCACATTATCTGCACGGCATTTACTCTTGTTTATCCGCACAGCATCTGCAAACAAGAAAAAAAATTAATGTATTTTACGTGAATGATATACTTAGGTAAATTTAGGAATTTCTCAGAATTCAGAATTTCAAAATTTAAAACCACACAAATACAGAAATACCAAATTTTCAAATTTGCAAATTAATTTGTTGCAAGTTAGTAAAATGCAAAACTAAAAAATTTAGAAATTAGGTAATTTAAAAATGTGTAACTTCATCAGTTAACAAGTACAAACTTATCAATTATAAAATTTACATATCGCTTATTTTGTAAAACAAGAAATGCAAATATGAAAATTGGAGAAATTATAAATTTAAAAATCTAAATGCAATTTCTTTTTCGATTCTTTCCTCGCATATATTTGTTTTTAAAGCAGTATGTGAACTGTTGTTGGAAATATTATCAGGAAACAAGTTGAAAACATTAGGTTGAAATTAGAATAGAAGTGAATAGATAATAACTGAATGAGTTGGGAAAAATTTTCGTAATTCTTTACGATACGATGAACTTCTATTTTCTACTTTTATTTATTGTTTATTTAAATAATTATTACAATGTATTTATCGTTGTCACTGATCATTATTTAAATAATGTTTATAATTTATTAATCAATAACTAATATTAACCAAAAAAAAAAATATATTGAAAAATAAAAAAAATAAAACACAAATAAAAATAAATAAGAAAATAAATAATAATAAATTTAAAAAATAACAATAATAAATAAATAAATAATCAGATATATTGCATTAAAAATACATAAAAAAAAAATAGTTTAAATTTTAACAAAAATAAAGAACCACAAACAGTGATTTCTAATCAGCTGCATATAAAAATCAGGTACGACCTCCATCATTTTCCATTCTTCCCATAGACTATTAATTACTATAATTAACTTTCAAGTTTTCATTAAAGTAACTGCATTCTCTTCTAAATTTTATATGAGACAAATTGATTTACTTTTCGTCGCTCCTGACTTTAAGATTAATGATAATGAAAAACAAATTAGTTTAATCACGATAATGAAGGAGCCCTGAAAGAAACTTTATTAAAAATAATTAACCTGAAGATTTCAGTAAAATCTTCCTTTAGAACGTTAACAGGTGTTAACATTGTTATTAAACTTTTTACTTGAATATTAAATTAAAATAGTTTATATAAATAATTGTGGTATAAAGTGTTTCATTTTTAACAAATTATTTAATATACATCTTTATTTTTTACTGCCAGATATTTCTAAAAAATGTAAATGAATGTTTCTCGAGCGATAAGAAAATGTCCGCCATATTGGTCTCCATCGAACCTCGAGTGGCGCGAAAATTCAAATCTACTAATAATAAAGTTCTGATTATTTTAATACAGTGTACCAAATTTGAATTTCTTACTAACTCTTACTTTAAGCTCAGTTTTAATCTAATTTTAAATATCTAATTTCTAATTTTAAATTAATACTTATTCTAAAAATTCAAATTTCGATACACAGCAAGAAACTTATGGATCATCAAATTATCCCTCTGTGGTTATCCCCTATTTCATCTCAGATCGAATGATATGAACACGGATAACGTATGGCTCATTCAAAACGTCACCATACATCACCCCGAATGAAACAATCGCTCTCCCGAAAGAAAAATTCAATAGTTGGTTAATTTCACGGAGAGGAAGCAACCACAACGTGCAATTTGATTGATGGACCTTTTCCATGGGTTTCCATGACATTCAGACTCTATCTAGACTCAATTATTGAATCAACTCGAAACAGTATATTAAACGCCTTTACATTTGAAAAGTTCATCCAAATTTCCGAAATACATTTAAACATCTTGCCTCGAACAATACGTTCGGTAACAAGAGTCACTCTTCAATCACGTATGAGCTGACACCGCAGTATTGTTAATTGCCCGTCTGGCATTCTCCGTGCTTGACACACAGCGTTCAGATTAATTACCGGAATCCATTACACGGACATGCGTCCATCGTTCCGGACACCTTTTGTCATTGCTACGCTCGATTCATGCTGTTCGACTATCGCGCGATCAGCTGATCCGAGAAAACAGTGGAGAGGTGCGGTAATTGAGGATGGGGAGTTCGATAAATCGTGGAAATAAGTATCGATAAATCAGTGATTGATTCAAATACAATAGGCGCTTCATGGAAGTTTAATGTTGGAGAGTGGAAAGATAATTGCGTGGTAATCGTGCGCGGTAATCCTGCGTAGTAATCTTACGCGGTGCTTCTATGTGATAGTCGTGCGCAGTAGTCTTGCGCAGTAGTCCTACGCGGTGCTTCTACGCGATAGTCGTGAGCAGTAACCTTGCGCAATAGTCCTACGCGGTGCTCCTATGCGATAGTCGTGCGTAGTAATCTTGCGCAGTAGTCCTACGCGGTGCTCCTACGCAATAGTCGTGCCCAGTAGTTTTGCGCAGTAGTCCTACGCGGTGCTCCTACGCAATAGTCGTGCCCAGTAGTTTTGCGCAGTAGTCCTACGCGGTGCTCCTACGCAATAGTCGTGCGCAGTAGTCTTGCGCAGTAGTCCTACGCGGTGCTTCTACGCGATAGTCGTGAGCAGTAACCTTGCGCAATAGTCCTACGCGGTGCTCCTATGCGATAGTCGTGCGTAGTAATCTTGCGCAGTAGTCCTACGCGGTGCTCCTACGCAATAGTCGTGCGCAGTAGTCTTGCGCAGTAGTCCTACGCGGTGCTCCTACGCAATAGTCGTGCCCAGTAGTTTTGCGCAGTAGTCCTACGCGGTGCTTCTATGCGATAGTCGTGCGTAGTAATCTTGCGCAGTAGTCCTACGCGGTGCTCCTACGCGATAGTCGTGCGCAGTAATCCTGCGCAGTAGTCCTGTGCGATAGTCCTGCGTGCTAAGCGTGCGTAGTAAACCTGCGCAGTAGTCCTACGCGGTGCTCCTACGCAATAATCGTGCGTAGTAACCCTGCGCAGTAGTCCTATGCGATTGTCCTGCGCGCTAAGCGTGCGTAGTAAACCTGCGCGGTAAACTTGCATAGTAAATATGCGCAGCAAGCTTGCGTACTAACTCTGCGCGCCAATATATTATTTCCCACGCCAATATATTCCGAACTAAACCTCAACTAAACCTGAACTAAAACTTCATTATTAAGACTACTACTCCATTTTTACTTAAACAACCACTCCACATCATTCTTTTAACCTAACCAAAAACGAAAGACACTATATACAGCAAAAATATGTACCGCATAAATATATATTATAAATATTTGTTGAAACTCGCACAGAAATCACCGCATGTCAATTAAACGACGTCATTTATTAATTCGACAATTAGAGTACAATTTTCTCGGCTAGTGAACAGCGCGAAAATTATATTTTGAGTACGTGCCCGCAAGTGCCGGGTTTTTGGACGCCAGCCATACATCATTTTAATGACTTGAGTGCCTGTGAACGATGTAGCTTGATTTTAATGCGATTTTGGCAGCGTACAGCCGAAAATCGCGATTGCTCATTACACGAAATACAATTAATATAAATTTTGGTAAAATTAAAAATAACGTTCGGTTAAAAATGGACGTTACGTTATTGATCTTTAAATTGAATTCCAACAAGTTGCATTATTTTTCACGCGTACTATGATCAAAAATTCGATGCACGTTCGAGAGATTTTTAAACGGCTCGATCAAAATTGGAGAATGTTTTCGAAGCTCGATCGAAGATGAAGTATTAAAAGTTCGATCACGTTTGAAAGCGAATTTAATCGATACAATTTGAAAGAAGCAATACTGTCGGATTTCCATTAGCGAGTTGAAAAATTTAACTCAGTCGATTCACTGTTTGTTGAATTCGTTTCTAAATTTCATAGAATTTCGTAACTATTTTTTAAAGAAATTTGTAAAATTTGTTTTTAGAAATTTTTTTTACTTGTTTAGAAATAAATTTGAAGCAAATTTAATATTTTAAGAAAAATGTGAACAAATGTGGATTAGCATGAAAGTTTACTAATATAAAAATAATTTATTTTTTACAAATTTTAAGAATTTTCTGCAATCTTTTACATGAACCTAAATCTGAAAAGTTTCGCCATCGGAAAAGATTACTTTTTCAAATTCCCACTTTGTCTTTTTAACCCCGAAGTTCCCGGTCGCCAATTTCCACATAATTTTCCTAATTTTTCCAATAAACGAGCAACGAGGAAATAGTTGGCGAAGTTCGAAGCGCTGGCTTAAAAGTTAAGAGCAAGAAATGCAAATTCGAACATCTCTGGAAAACGAGCCGAATCATAAATTTAAATAGTAAAAGAGAACCGGTGAATAATCAGTATCGTCGTTATACTGTTTAAATTTTCCGTCCGTCTCTTATTCGTCTTATATGCATTGTAAATGAGTTCGCGATGAATTCGTTTTTGCAGTTGATTTTTAAGCGAACGTGCAGCTTGTTAATAACAATGCCTCAGTTATTGCTGCGCTTTCAAAACAAACAACGGCTTGATGGATTGTTTTTTTATCTATTCAAGCTACCGGTGACGAATAATATCCCTTTTAATATTCATCGTTGTAGCTAAAAAAGTTTTTTCTCATTTTCGGATAAAATAATGATTTTTTAATTTTACCAAGCGAAATTCAGTATTTTTAGACTTGAAAAATTACAAATTTGTAAATATAGATATTTTATGTATAAAATTATGTATACAAAATATGTACAACTTATATCAAATCCCTTATATCAAAGGCCAACTCGTATCAAATATGAACGATTTCAAAATGTGAAACAATTTAACAAAACCATTGTAAATACTTGTATTACACAATTGTTAAGTTTAAAGAAATAGCGCCATTTATTAAAACATGTTGTCTGAAAACAGTATACCTCTTCTACAAAACACAACGATCATTACTGTGAGATAGAACGAATAGATTTACAGAACGTTACTCTAACACCGATTAAAGTTGCGGTGGTTCGTACGCTCGCCACTAGGCGGCGCATGAGACTTGCCTTTCTCGCTAGTACTCAAGGAGCCCTCCTACACAG